TGGAGAACAAGCTACTAGCAAATTTGGAGGAGATGAAGGCTTTTTTTGTGTGGAGAGAAAAGTGAGTTGATGGCGTGTTATGCTCGCTAAAAAATTAGTAATTTATAATTGTCTTTAGAGCTTTCAATCATGGTTCCGTAATCGGGGTAAGTAATAGTCGAACCTAGAGGGAAAGGAAATCAATCGATCGTTTTGGTTGTTTGAGTGTTCTTATAGTGTAAAGGAGGTTGGTTATATGTAAGCATTTGGAAGTAACTTAAAGTAATAAGAATTAACAATATTAAGAAAGCTTTGATTGAAGTTTAGTATCCACTTTTAGTTCGGTCACTCATCATTGATTAAATAATTAACTTATCCTAAGCATGAATATTCACGGTAAAACAACATGTATGTTGACTTTAGTCTTTTCTTGATTAGTCGTTAACCGAATATATGATATCTAGTTAATTCCTTAGCTATTGAACAACTTACTAAGCACTACATAGATTTAATCTAATAAAAACATTAGACGAGAGAAAGATATGTGAAACTAAGTCACCTTCTTAAGTGCTTAGAGAAGATGCAACCTACTCGTTTTCCAAGGAATTAAATGAAAACGTGAAAAATAATCATTAATCCCTAGTTACTATTATAGGCAAGTTTAGACAAATAATTACACGAATTTGAATACTTAGCTAACAATAAGTTAATATGACTAAACAACTAGCCTCGCACTTTAATTAATTTAATCATAAAACTATGAACCAATGATGTAGAAAAATATAAAATACCCAATAAGGATAAGTTTAGAAATAAAATCGTAATCTCATAGCAATTAACCAAAATTTTCAGCTTGATTCGATTAAGAATAAAGTTTAGTTGCTCATAATGATTTACAAAAAGTTTCTATGAATGGTGACTACTAGAAGATTATCGGGAAAGAGTCAAATAATACCCTAACTTTACTATTTATACCTAAAACTAGGGTTACATCATATGTGTGTCAACCCCACATGGCCACGTGGCTTAATACATAAAGTTACACGGTTTGTTGCTTGATATTACACAATTTGGAGCATAGGAAAATAAGTATTACACAATTTGCTAACTAGGGCACACAGGTATGTGCCTTTGTTCTTCATTTTGTGTTGCCAAGCTTCGTCCATGTATATTTCTTCTTCAAGTCGTGTTGAATCTCTTCGCCTATGTAGACATGCTTTGCCTTCTAGACATGGGCATGTGACTTTGCATTGCAAATCGTGTGCGATACCTTCGCTTGTGTGGTCTTCTTCTTTCCTTGAGTTTTGCTAGGTTGAGTCACCCATACGGTCGTGTGGAATGTCGTTGCTCGTGTGGTCTTATGTTGCTTAAGAATGCACACTCGTTTCTTCCTTTAAGTCATACGACCGGTAGCTATTTTCTTTGTTATTTCACATGACCATATGACTTTTCTAAGCCTCTTTAAAGTTTCTCTCTTTCTTGCTCCGATTCGTCGTTTTTTCTACAAAACCTAAAACCGTCATCTTATTCTTAAACAACGTAATGTCATATAATGAGTACTAGAAAGTTAAATATAATAAAGTATAAAAATCATGCTATTTATGCACTCATCATGAGTTTTTATAGGTAGAAATTAGGTTTTTGGGATAAAAATTCGTTTTGATCCTTGATTTCACCTAATTTGTCATATTAAGTGTAATTTAGATTGTTTAAACTTTAATGACACTCAAATTATAATTAATTAGGCCATTTTCTTAAAATTTGTTCTCTAATTGTGTCCCTTTTTTTAATTCTTTTTAATTTTGCCCTTGATCGATTTTGTTTTTAATTAGACTAATTTGAAATATATTTTTTTAAATTGATTTCTTTTGTCTTTTTTTTTGTATTATTTTATTTATTTTTTTTGTAATAAAAATAAGAATAAAAGAGAATTGTGTGTGTGGGGGGGGATTGGGTATTAACAATGATGATTGTTGCTTCTTATTCTCCTCTTTCTCTAAAAAATTCACCATTATCTTCATATCATATGTTTTAATGTTTCTTTTATACTAATAAACCTTCGATAATATCTAAATTTCTTCTTCTTCTTTTTCCCTTTTGAATCTTCCTCTCATGTAAAGAAAAAAAAAAAAGAAAGAAAGATAAAAGTCGAGTTTGTTTTCAAACAAAGTTCCACCATCACTTTTTTCACCTTATTCCAAACATAGCCTAATACTAATTATAGTAGAACACATTACGCGTTTGTAATAATAATAATAATTTATCAAGTTTTATTTTCTCTCAAGTTTTTTTGAAAATTTTAATTTATTAACCAAAATTAAACTTAAGAAATATTGTAGCGTCTATTATCATATTTGTATTAATATTTTATAATCAAACTACATTTATTTTCAAAATAAAAATTCCAATTAATATGTTTATCTTTTTTAAGTAAAAAGCTATTCACATGCATTGCAATAAAAAAATGAAGCTCTCATCCTTTATTTCCATTTTTTTTTCAAAAAAATAAAAAAAATCCAAAATTTCATTATAGCAATATGAAGAAATATTGTTTCAATTTCTAACCATGCTTGCAAAACAATTATGAATGTTTTTGAAAATAAGCATTTTAGTTCTTATATATATATATATATATATATATATATATATATATATATATATCTCATTTGAAGATGGAAAAAATTACTATTTTAATTAGGTATTATCAAAATTTATTCAAGATTAATAAATATTTCAATTTATTCTTTTTATTGAATTAGAAAATATTAAAGATATAGTAGAAGAATATATATGGGAGGCACGTGAAGAGAAAACCAATATCTTTAAATATAAATATGTGCGGACCTTTTAATTTTTATCTAATCAAATTATTTTAAGAGGGTTTAACTTGACAAAATTTTAAGAGTCTTAGGATTGAAAAAATATTTTTCCTTTAAGTTATGGTAAATCAAAAGGTGGTAACATTGATTAGTGATTCGAGCTTCAAAGAGACATGGATAAAATTGAAATATAAGGAAAAGAAACGGAATTACAAAATGAAATTAATAAAACAAACTAAAGCAAAACGATGATTTACTCGTTTCAAACAATGTTCACACACTCATATTTCACTCTTCCTTTCACTATTCATGACTTTTTTTTTACATTTTGATCCTTGATATTTTCGAAAAAATATTTCGATCCACATCCTCATATGGTCATCCATTTTGAACCCTAGGTGTAAAGAGAGAAAGGGAGGGAGAGAGATATGGGAGGAGAGAGAGATCGTCGACCAAGCTTATTTAGGTCGCTTTGGCCGACGAAAATCCATTATATTTTTTTTCTTTGAAATATGAGTTTGTCCATAGTTTTTTCAAGCCATTAAACAATTAGAGGAGATAAATCGAGCAAAAAAAGGAATAAAGTTTGTGTATTTTTTCTTTATTTTGGTGTACATTAAAATGATTTTTAAGGTTTTAGATATGTTTATTGACTTTATTTCGGTCATTTATAGGTGTTTGGGGAAAAAATAATGCCGAGATTCAATTTGTAAGGGTCCGAAATTTAACCTCCGATTTTCTAATAAAAATTTCGACGAAATTGAGTTCGTCGAAGTCGTAGGGTTTTTTTTTTTTTTTTTCAAGTGCAACCCGGTTGAACAAACCAATTATGCGCTCGTCCTAGTTGGCTTAAGCCAACCGACGTATGTCCTCCTCTTTTTTTTTTGTCCTTCCTATATATATATATATATATATATATATAGGAAGGACAAAAAAAAAGGAGGATATAGGAAGGACAAAAAAAAAAAAGGAGGAGGACATACGCTTATATATATATATATATATATAGAGAGAGAGAGAGAGAGAGAGAGAGAGAGAGAGAGAGAGAGAGAGAGAAGGTATGCCAAATAAAAAAAAGTGTGAAAAATGAAAAAAATAAATTTTTAGTTTTGTGTATAGCTTGAAAATAATAGAATATACATCCGATTATATTACTTTTATTGTTTAAATTTATTTCTTCAATTATTTGTTTTTTATTAAAATTTTCATCAAATTAATTTTTTGATATAATTTTATTTGTTAACAAGTTTAGTTTTTTAATATATGAATTTTGAAATAAATTTTAAAACGTCAGCTTTTTATTTTTTTAAATATAATATTATAATTTATACAATAAATTATTTTTTGCTTTTTAATGAGTTTTCTCTTCTTTTTTTTTTGGTCATTTTTTCTATTTTTTAATTAAAAAAACTAAGAGAAATTTTTTTTAAAAAAATTACAAAATAAGTTTTTACTTAAGAATCTATTGGTTTTGACATTTTTTATACTATTAAAAAAATTTAGTTTGTAGGTAGAATAAACAAATAATGTTTTTTAATAAAAAAATTAGTAAAAATATAAAAAACGATTCGATCAACTACGTAATGTTAATTCAAAAATTATAAAATTGAATGAATTTTTATTTATTTTTGATTTGATATTTTTTGATAAACAAACAATGTAACATGGATATCAAAATAAAATTTTTCAATGTATTTTATGTGATACGCAACATAAGGCAGATAAAAAATTTAATTAACCTATTTAAAAAAGTTCAGTCTTGACGATGAAAACAATCTACACCCTTCCTTACCGGAGGCGGTCACCCAGCCCTAAAGAACACAGTCCAATCCGCTCCTCTATGTAATCTGCATCATAGTAGCGTTAAAAAAAAAAAAAAAAAATTTAATGAATTAAATGAAAAATTGAAGAAAGGAAAGTGAAATAAAAAAATCAAAAATTCAAAGTCTATCTATCTCCCTCTCCGCTTAAAATTCAAGCAGTCTTTCGCGCATATATAAATATAAATTATCTCCGCTCTCTCTCTTATTTCTCTCTCTAAACTGTTCGCTCGCTACAACAAACATAAAACCCTTCCACACATTCTCTTTTTCTCTCTCTAGGAACTTTGCCTTTTCGTATAGTCTTTCTCTCTCTCTCTTAGGGTTTGGTGGGCAGTAGTGGAAGTAGCTAGGGTTTTGTGCGGTTTTAAAATCAGTAAAAATGGCTTCTTTGGTTATGGCGGCAGAGAAATTTAGGGATTTAAGTCAAGCGATTGATGTTCCTTTACTTGATGCTACTGTTGCTGCATTCTATGGCACTGGATCTAAAGAAGAGGTCAGGTTTTCTTTATTCCATTTCAAATGAGAAGGCCGGTATAATTATTCAACTCTTCTTCAATCCTAGGGTTAGTGTTTAGTAAGAATGTTTTAGTTTGATCACTACTTGTTATCGAGGCAGCAATGGACTCTGTATATTTTAGGGTTTAAAGATCTCTTAGAGGGATTTTTCTATTATGTTGTGTTTGGTACTGCAAAGTGTGGGAGAATGAACGAAGGAACGGACGAACGACCTGCTTAATTATTGTTGAACGGAAGTTTATTGGATTTTGTTTCAAAGATGGGTTTATTTCCATTTTGAATTTGAAATGTGGTAATGATGATTATTATTGTTGCTCAAAGTGTCTATTGCATCGGGAATTAGGGTTTCCCATTGTTTACTAGGCGCCTTCTAATTTGGCATCCTGTTTTTGGTGGTTTTTGTTTTGCTTGCCAATAAATTTCTATTGTTTACAGAGGGTAGCTGCAGACCGCATTTTGCAGGACTTGCAAAGCAATCCAGATATGTGGCTTCAAGTGGTGCACATTCTACAACATACAAAGAACCTCAACACCAAGTTCTTTGCCTTGCAGGTTAGCTGTAATATGATGCCTTGAAATACTGTTTTTGTTTTTACTTAGGAGTATATTCTTTGTGGAAATTATGAAGCAAAGCCATCATGGGTTAACCTTGTGGTATGTTGTTGCAGATACTTGTTATCATAACTTGGCATCTTGCTGCTTTCATTACTTATGAAAGCTCTAGAAAATTTTTATATACATCTTTTAAATCTAGTTGACACTGCTGCATTCATCTGTTGTGATTCATTTAGTATTGTGGTAGTTTGTGTTTGATGGAAGCTAGTTTTTCTTATATCAGGTTTTGAGATGGTGTAGTAAAGAGCCTAATAGCACTTACGTGTTAAACTCACTTGTGCAGTTCAAAAAATCTTTTGCCTAGCATTGTAGTGATAGGATATGATGTTTCCAGTCATATGAAAGAGACTTATGCGATTCAGTGTGACCATAGAAGAATAGAGTCATATGCCACTTGAGTTTTGGGCCTAAATCCTGTTTTCATTTCAATTATTCCTGCAAAGAAATTGTACTTTTCTTGATTGATATACATGCTTATCGGAATTGAATAGAAGGTTATTTTAGCAATTTGCATGATGCTGAAAAACATCTTCCAGAAACATCATATGGGGCATAAAGACATCTGCTAAGGTCAAATTACCTCTACAAGAACCAAGACTTCAAGGTGGTCTCTCTCTTGTCAGTGGCATGACACTCCTGGATATATGCCCAGGTGCTAGTGCTATAAATCCACCATGACTGTGCAAGGGCATAAGAGGGCAGCCTCACATGCCTTATCAGAGGTTGGATGGGCAATGCTGAGTGTAGACACAATAAAATGTTTGTGGATGAGTCCATATGGCTTCTCAGGGTCTGAATTATGTATGTTCATGAATTGCTTACACATCTAATGATCTACTAAATATAATACTGTTTTGAGTTATGGCTAGTGCAAAAGGCAGAAACATAGGAATACCCTTTTCTTTTGGCTTTAGCCTAGGGGAGTATTTTCTTGGTTGTGTTAGTGAAATGAAAAACCTAAAGGCTGATGTCTAGAAAACATACAAGAAGCTCATTTAGACCTAATAGGTGATGTCTGGCACATGTATAGGAAGCTCATTGTTCTCCAGGGAAAAGCACAAATTAGTGATGTTTAACAAGTTTCAAGACTGATATTAAATACTGTTTTTTCTTCCTTTCAATAGAGTTGGGGAGAATATATGTTCCTTTTGCTTTGAATCTTGTGTCTCTTTTTAAAATAAGTCAATAGCTACCCTTTTCACATGAAAGAGGAGTGCTATAATGAATGCAATGTAATGCATACATTATGGAGTTAGTTATTTATTTATTTTTGTTTACTCCTATCTTTGAGGTGATGATTTTACAATAGATTACTCTCTGTTTTTTCTGCGAGTATTGTCCAAGATATGGACTGATGGGTTTACTTTTTTATGTATGGGCAATTAAGTGGCTGATGAATTAGTGCTCCAAAGCATCAGTGACTAAGCAGCCGTTTTTGGATGTTTTCCAATTTTTATATAGGTCCTAGAGGGTGTTATAAAGTATAGATGGAATGCATTGCCTGTTGAACAACGAGATGGAATGAAAAATTACATATCTGAAGTCATTGTACAGGTATTTACTTCTGAAAGCTGTGGTTTTGGAAGGTTGTGGGCTGCACTAATTTTCTTTCATAGCTTGATTTTCTGGTTACCTATTATTGATGATTTGTCCATTTTTGATCTCTTAAATAGCTTTCAAGTAATGAGGCCTCTTTTCGAATGGAAAGGCTGTATGTAAACAAGCTCAATGTTACTTTGGTTCAGGTATGATTTAAACTAAGAATCCATGGATGGGTTAGTTTTGGATATCGTATCTCGTGCCATGCACTATATTTATGACAATTGGAAACAGTTATTTTGGGATTGCTTTTTATTCATAATCAATCACTCTAGTGTGATTTTTCAAAGTTGTGGTTTAGTTCAAGAAATGTGTTTGTCAGATTGAAATTTAAGTGTTATATAATATTTTTTGTGTCAAGAAATGTAAGTTTTGGCTTGGTTTATTCGAACACATGTTATTACCTAATTATAACATGAATAATTACTGCACTGGTGGTATGTAGATTCTCAAGCATGAGTGGCCAGCTAGATGGCGAAGCTTTATCCCTGATCTTGTTGCAGCAGCAAAAACTAGTGAAACTATTTGTGAGAATTGCATGGTTATATTGAAAGTAAGTTTCTCTCTCTCTCTCTCTCTACACAGACACATATTTGAAAGATACTTGGTTTTGCTATATGTGACTAATATAAGCTATTGCAGCTTCTAAGTGAAGAAGTATTTGATTTCTCACGGGGAGAGATGACTCAACAGAAGATCAAAGAGCTTAAACAATCATTGAACAGGTAATTGCTTTGGGCTTTCACTTCTTTCGGTTTTTGTAGTGCCATTTATTTCTTTGTGGAGTTTTTAAGTCAAAGGACACAGTTACACCTGTACAAACTAGTTGCACTTGCGTGACTTGTTTTTAAATTTTGGTCATCATTTATAGGTTTCAGAAATCTATCACTAAGCATAACCAAAACTGTGGTGCTTCTATTGAAACGATTGTAAAAATTTTATAAATTACCATGTCAATCATTCTACGAGACATTAGTTCTTTTATGTGAAAAATACTTTAATGACCTATACAGATGATTAGCATAATATTAAGCCAAAGGCCATACAATTGAAATTTTCTACTAAAACAACTCCAACTCTCTCTCTTTATGTTTCTGATTATAATTCCAAGAAAATAAAATACAATGAAGATTTCAATATTCTATATGTCAATCCTAATGGAACTCATTTTTGCTCCACTTGTTATCCCCAAACATAAAGCTCCCTCTAAGCTTCTCTATATGTTTGTGTATGTGAGTGTACGTACACAAAGGCAGTTCATATTGGCAGCGAGAGCTGCTGAAATCTATTGGAATTCTAGCTACTTATTTGATTTTTCTGTGTGTAGTTTCTAACTTAAGTTGAAAATATTGGGGGGGGGGGTGGTTTCATCTTTACCTAGTGATAAGCACTGAGGCAAATATCACTTATTATTGCTTGTCTGTTGTTCAAGTATATCTTGAAATGCTTTGCTTTCCTGCTTGATTCTTGCATGTTAGCTTATTGGTAAATGTGTTGGCAATGTAATGATAGTTTAGATTGTGCTGCTCTCTAGTCTTGGTGTTAGGGTTGCTTATATGCCACTGCAGCAATTCTTCTAAACCTCTTCTCTGTTATCATACTATCCTTTTTTGTTATGTATTTGTGCAATCTATTTCAGCAAGAGTTTTGTTTGTTTGTTTACAGTGAGTTTCAACTCATCCATGAGCTATGCTTATATGTCCTGTCAGCCTCGCAAAGAACTGAGCTGATTCGAGCAACATTGTCCACCTTGCATGCTTTTCTTTCTTGGATTCCTCTGGGCTATATTTTTGAATCTCCCTTGGTATGTAAAATCTTCTTCAATAGCTTTCAGGAAGAAAATTTCTTCAAAAGAATAGTTATTGGTACAAGAGCAATTGACTTTTAGGTATCAACTTGCATTAGTTATTATAATTGTTAAGCGCTGTTCTCATGATATGTACTTACATCACATGTTGTCTTCCTGCTATGCCTTACAGCTTGAAACACTTCTGAAATTTTTTCCCATGCCATCTTATCGGAATCTTACCCTTCAGTGTTTGACAGAGGTATACTGTTAACATTTTGAAAGAAAAATGTCCTCTCTTGAACCGTTAAGTGTTGATGGTTTATTATCTGAAATTTACAGGTGGCAGCTCTTAATTTTGGGGATTTCTATAACATGCAGTACGTTAAGATGTATAATTTTTTCATGGTCCAGTTACAGGTACAGTGGGGTATTTAGTTCAGATATGGGAACTCCAACCCAATTGTGATATGCTTATGAATTTAAATAATTGTGATATCAGTTTCTAAGCTACTGCTGTTTCCTCTTTTTGTTATTCTTTTGTAGGCCATTCTTCCACCAGCCACTAGTATCCCAGAGGCTTATGCAAATGGATCTAGTGAAGAACAAGTCTGTTTTGCCGATAAATGCATTCTGTTATACTAAGGATTAATGCCCAATGCTAATTTCCTCTGTTATTTTTGTTGCTTGCTTAGGCATTCATTCAGAATCTGGCTCTGTTTTTCACCTCATTTTATAAGGTAATATTCGTTTCTTGGTGAGTTAACTTTTAATAAATTCTAGAGGCCTTAGCCTAAGAAATGCAAAAGTGAATATTAGAACAAAGAAAAGTTATGGCTTGCATCTTGACAATAATTCATTTTTTGTCCCAAGTAGTTTTAACGCACTTATGTTAGACATAATTGGACTCTAAGATATCCTTGCTGGATTGCGATTTGGTTGTTTTGATTAGAATGGAATCAATGGACAATGAGAGCAGAGGACGACCTCTGCTGGTGTAGGTTAAAATTATAATAGATGATATAGTTTCTGAATCCGTCACAGAGAATGTAGCCCGAGATAAGACATATTACTTATAGGCATGTGATGCAAGGCAGCTTGTGGCATGAACAGTAATTTTAGATGATTTTAGGCTGAATCTTTGATGGGTAATTGTTGAGGGTTCATTAGACATATGTGAGAGGTTGTTTAGGGATTATTGATGAGTGTTTTTAAGATTAGATTGAAGGGTTTTGTATGCTGGAAGTTGTATAAACTATGAGTTACAATAATAGTGTTTCTAGGAGTCCCTCCTAGAGGACAGAAAAACCTAGGCTTCACAGCTAGGGTTCTTAGGATTCACACCTAAGTAAAATTGAGTCACACAATCAAAAGCAAATTGCTGAAATTTTATTTATCAACTGTAATCACCATATTGAAAGATTGCGTACTTATTTATAAAGATTTAGTACTCTAAATCCAATAATAGCTTAAGCTCGTAAACCTGCTCTCCAACATACTAGTCCTATTTAGAATAAGGAAAACCCAATTACTTTAAGATTAATAAAATAAAATACAAAACAGAAATAAAGCTTAGACCAAGACAAATTTTCCTGATTTTTCAGCATCTATGGTAATGACAGAAGTACCCTTGTCTACAAAAGACATAAATTCTGCTTCTTTTGCTGTCTGCATCAACATGATTCCATTAGTTTTCAACTGCTGTTCTGTTGGATGGAGTAATCCATGTTGTGTTTCATAGGCAAGCCAGAAAAATGACTTAAATTTGCTAAAAAAATAAAATAAAAAAGAAAAAATAAAGAAAACAGCTTAATCTCGTCCGTGAGCGTAGGGCTTGTTGATGCTGGAATATTTTAAACTTGACTGTGGATGACTGCAATTTCGGTCATGGTGAATTTGCAAAGTACATCCATATCGTAGAATTTGTGTGCTTAGCTTGAGATATTTATAATTTCCCTCTTTTATTTGCATCAATGCCTCTAGGCATTGTCTGAATATTGCATGTTTATCCTGTTAGAAAAAAATTAATGTTACGGATGCCTTCATGTCTTTGGAGTCTCCATGTTGTGTTTCATAGGCAAGCCAGAAAGATGACTTAAATTTGCTAAAAAAATAAAATAAAAAAGAAAAAATAAAGAAAAGAAAACAGCTTAATCTCGTCTGTGAGCTTAGGGCTTGTTGATGCTGGAATATTTTAAACTCAAATGTTGATGACTGCAATTTGGGTCATGGTGAATTTGCAAAGTACATCCATATTGTAGAATTTGTGTGCTTAGCTTGAGATATTTATAATTTCTCTCTTTTATTTGCACCAATGCCTCTAGGCATTGTCTGAATATTGCATGTTTATCCTGTTAGAAAAAAATTAATGTTACGGATGCCTTCATGTCTTTGCAGTCTCATATTCGAGTGCTGGAGTCTACTCAGGAGAACATATCTGCTCTACTAATGGGTCTTGAGTATCTAATTAATATCTCATATGTCGATGACACAGAGGTTTTTAAGGTGTAGTTATTTTCATTCTCTTGTTCACCTTCATCTTTCTCTATGTGCATGCATGCATTAGTGTTGTAGTATGTATGTGTGTATATGTGAATTATTATGTAATTCCAAGTCTGATAACATGACTAGTCTTGCTGCCTTTTATGATTTACAGGTTTGCTTGGACTATTGGAACTCTTTGGTTTTGGAGCTTTTTGAGGCACACCATAATTTGGACAATCCTGCAGTCACTGCAAACATGATGGGACTGCAGGTTGAATTTATAACAGATACTGTGGTTCATTTGTTGTGTTGCGGATTAATGTGGTGGTCAGCTATTGTGTCATTCTATTGCATTGTGCTTCCTCTTTTTACTAATTCTGACTTATATTTTTGTTTCCATACAACAACACAGATACCACTAGCCCTTCGCACGTCTTGTGAAATACTCCCTTAATTCACACAAGCCTGCAGTAGCTGTAAATTTTGTAGGAGTCTCTTTAATGGATCGATCTTTCTAGAGATAAAATTGTCCTGTTTTATTGATGTTGTTTTTTATTTTCTTGTTTGTTTTGGAGGGTATCCTTTACTATGTATTTCTCCTTGCTTTTTCCAAAGGCTTTCTCCCATGTGGGAAAGAAGCTTTGTTTTGTTAAAAAGTGTCCCACACTTTATTTTAAGAAGAGGGCTAACTAGGTAAATGTCCAATAAGTGTTGTGACAATATGTTACTTCTCTGAAATCTTTTGTGTTTTTTGTTTGACGTTTTGCACTCTGCTCATATTTGTGGCTAATCCTATCTGCTTCACATGGTTCATTTTTTTCTCATTCTACGCATATACATTCATGTGCACATATTATAAATTCTTGCATTTACTTTGGTGTTGGTTACAATTTTCTACTTTTGTTATTTTGGAACACTTCTTTTCTTTCCGTGGAGATTACTTATTCTAGACTATCAATTCTCGGAATCTGCAGATGCCTTTGCTACATGTTATGGTTGATGGTTTAGGGTCGCAAATTCTGCAAAGGAGGCAGCTTTATGCTACTCCAATGTCCAAGTTGAGAATGCTTATGATCTGTCGTATGGCTAAACCTGAGGAGGTTTTGATCGTTGAAGATGAAAATGGTAATATTGTTCGTGAAACCATGAAGGATAATGATGTTCTTGTTCAATATAAGGTGATACATCTTGACTTTGCTGATGCTTTTATGTATTCATTTCATATTGGCCTTTGCATATGGATATGGAGCCTTTTTTTTTTTTCTTAAAGAAACAAATTTGTGCTTCTTTAAGGCCCTTATGCTAGCTCAAATACTGTGTTGATTAGAGTGTATACTGGCGATTGGTTTGAATTTTTGGAAATGAAACTTTGATATCTGTGAAAAACCATGGAAAATTATGATATGGACTTGAGGTGCATATGGCATGATTTGTAGACACAGCTTCATTTTATATGCAGAAAAAGATCGGTTTATATGTGCCCATAGTATGTACTGTTAGTTTATATATATATATATATATATATAGTTTGCATAATGTGCTGATGTACTTTGAAATTTTTGAATACAAGAGTTCAAAGTATTTTAAATTTGGTTGTTTGGTGTAATGCTTGCTTTAATACCAATCATAGGCCTGTTAAATATGTTGATGGGCAGGGTGTCAAATTCATACTGCTTTCGACATCAGTATGTTTTTGTTTTGGAGACCTAATGATATAGTATTTATGTGCTGGCATTAATTTCTCTGTTTCTGGATATTTGATGTTACCTGTTTCAATGGTTAATCAAATTACTATTATGCAGATTATGAGGGAAACTCTAATCTATTTATCGCATCTTGATCATGAAGATACTGAAAAGCAGGTAAGAGCTTGTCCCTGAACTCATCAACTGTAGAATTTATTTTAGGAATATTGTCCTTGCGTCTTTCAGCTATTTTGTTTGTAGTTTATAGATTTAGATGCATAATGTGTGCGATTAATAAATGCATCACTTCAATTATCTTTCTTTAGAGCTCTAATCTGTTAAAATATTCATACGAAGTATAATAGTGGGCCTTTTGAAGCACATTGGTTTGTAATTATGTTTTTTGATTGCCCTCATTCTTTTCTGCCATGGGTTTTCCTTTTGCTGTGTTGCTGACTTGTTGCTTGCTTTCACAATCACATTTCTTCCTTCTTTCAGCTTGTTTGCCTCTTAATCTCTCTTTTATGAATGGTAAACTAAGATATTCAGATGAAATAATGAGTACATCTTTAGTGAATGTATATTGGTGTTTAATTTGCTTCTCTTCTATATGGAGTTTGATTTCTTAACATGGATGTTGCTGTGTTCCCTTGTTGGTGCAACACAGATGTTGAAGAAATTAAGTAAACAACTGAGTGGTGAAGATTGGAATTGGAACAACTTAAACACTTTATGCTGGGCAATAGGATCCATTTCTGGTTCCATGATGGAAGAACAGGTAATTGCCTTTTTTTGGATTAATGGAGGCGTAGTTTGTTGAAATATTTTCTTACCGGAAATAGGAAAGTTTATCTATTGATGCTTGATTGTTTTTAGTTGCATGATGCCTTTGAGACGTTGAAGTTTTTCTATGAAAATTTATAGTGTGTACAAATGAGAATTGTCTAGCACGAACACACATTGTTTTTATTCCCAGGCCTGATATGGAAATGATTGAATTCTAGTTTCTTATTTGTTTATAGCTCTGTGATGATGATATACCAGTAAACTATCCATGAATTTTGTCTTGCTAGGACTGATATGGAAATGATTGAATTCTAGTTTCTTATTTGTTTATAACTCCGTGATGATGATATGCCAGTATAATATCCATGAATTTTGTCTTGCTAGGATCAGCCTTCTGAATCATTTCATGCCTTCTTAAGTTCTTCCAGGGACGCTAATTGTTTGTTGTTAATTGCTAATGTTTTGGGATTTCATATATATGAAAGATGGTTTTTCATGCACATATATTAAATGATTGCAATTAATGTAAACTTTTTTGGTAGCACGTCACATCACCTGTTCTAAATTTTTGTTTAGTATTGGCAAACTTGCTGATGATTTTTTTTTTGCTTTTCTAAGATTTTAATTTCATCTGAGTTGTTGAATAATTTTTTCTCCATCTGATTTGTTTTTTGTCAAATCTTTCTTACCTTTTCTGTGTTCTAAATTTTTGTTTAGTATTGGCAAATTTGCTGATGATTTTTGTTTTGCTTTTCTGAGATTTTAATTTCGTCTGAGTTGTTGAATGTTTTTTTCTCCATCTGATTTGTTTTTTGTCAAATCTTTCTTACCTTTTCTCCTTGTTGCCACTTCCTGTTTGATGTTATTTTTGGCACAATAACCAAGTCGATGACAATGGATAGATTCCAATCCTTTAATGATGGATTGTTATATAACCTATCTATTTCAGATTTTGAGGATTTCTTAATTGGCTAATGTTTACTCGTTTGTTGCAATGATCATTTGTTGTTCAATAATGCATTTCTTAACATTTTTACCGTCTTTGTTCTGTGGCAGGAAAACAGATTTCTTGTGATGGTCATTCGTGATTTACTGAATTTATGTGAACTCACAAAAGGGAAAGATAACAAAGCTGTTATTGCAAGTAACATCATGTAAGAATTTATGATTGCAAAAGGTGTTTTGAGAGCTTCTTTGTTGAGTTTTATGTCTTCGGTTTTTTTCACCTCACAATTATCACCAATTTGAGGTCGCTGCATTCTATGTTTCTCTAGCACATTTTTTTTTGTTTTGAAAAAAGAAAAAAATTAGGGAGAAACAGATAGAAGAACATCTCTACGGTCTGTATTTCATTGTGACTACACATGCTTGTTCTACTCCAAGGGATAAGCCAGCTGAGATTGGTAGCTGGAGAAGCTTAAAGTAAATTTGTCAGGGATATGGTTGTATAAGTACACAAATTTTTCATAGCCATTTGTTTCAAACTCGCTTTCTCTGATTGCAGGTATGTTGTTGGTCAGTACCCAAGATTTCTCAGAGCTCACTGGAAGTTCTTGAAAACTGTTGTCAATAAATTGTTTGAATTTATGCACGAAACTCATCCTGGAGTTCAGGTCATTTTTGCTGCTCTATAATCTTCATATTATATTCTAGACAGGCTGCATATACTGGAGACTTTCTTACCAATTTTGAATCACATGTATTAGTGTTACATAAACTCCTAAGTGATTGCAAGCACTAGCAATTATGCATTTTATTATTGTGGTGCATTTGTTATATTTTCTTGTATAGCTTGATTGTAACTCGCATCTTGAAATTTTCCAGGACATGGCCTGTGACACATTCTTGAAAATTGTTCAGAAATGCAAGAGGAAATTTGTCATTGTGCAGGTGACTTCTATTTTTTAACAGGCACTTGCCTTCTGGGTTGTAATTGTGATGCATCAAAATTTTTTTGAGAAGCTGCTTCTCTGGTTTTCAGGTTGGAGAAAGTGAACCGTTTGTATCGGAACTTCTAACTGGCCTTCCAACGACTGTTGCTGATCTCGAGCCACATCAAATTCATACCTTTTATGAATCTGTATGCTGCTATATGCTCTGGGGAATAAGTTGTTGACACTGCATATGTGTGAAGTTTGTGACCTTTGCTTTTGTTTTTTGCACCAGGTTGGCCATATGATTCAAGCAGAATCTGATCCACAGAAGAGAGATGAATACCTGCAGAGGTTGATGGATCTCCCTAACCAGGTATGTTTCAGAACCCAACCCCCCCCCCCCCCCTCCTAAATTTTGTGAAGGAAATCTATACTGTATAAAAGTAGCTGAAGGCATAATATCTTATTTAGATTAAAAACGCCTCTAGGTTGCTATATTTAACTATGTAATGAATAATAATTCGGACGTATATATACATTAATAAACCCCTCACTAAAATATGAAAGCTCTTTGCCCAATGACAACCAAACTTGTTCGCCTATGTTTTCTTAGTTTGATTGCAATTCTTTTCTAATTAGAAATTTGCCACAAAAATCTTCAAACAATTCCAAGTCAATATTTGGCGAACATTTAATTAATTAAAATTTGATATTTTAAATTAAATTGGCATATATTTTTTGAAGATTAAGGGTCTTCTGACAGTTTGAAAGCTGCTACGATGTTTTCATGGGCAATCATTATGCTCAAGATGTAGGTTTTTTTCTGATAGTTTTTTTTCAGGAGAATAGAACAACTAACTCCTTTACTAGACATTTTAGAACCAAACAAAATGGAAGCCTGGAAACTGTCAGACAGGAGTATCTCTTCAAGTTTACTTGCCATGTCTTAACCATGGGGACCATTCAGAATCAGTTTATTTTAGTATTTTCATTTTTGTTTTACATAAAAAGCTAAGAGGCTAATAAGATTGGTCGTCTTCCAGAAATGGGCTGAAATTATAGGACAGGCACGCCAAAGTGTAGATTTTCTGAAAGATCAAGACGTGATCAGAACTGTGCTTAATATATTGCAGGTATGGCTTTTTATTCATTATGGGGGCATTCTGTGGATCCAAACCATGTTTCTAAAGGGTTTTTAACTGGATATTGATTAGTTTGGTTATACATATTAATCATGTAAGATCTCTTGTGTGTTTAGAAATCATGTTTTTACTGTTGAATTATGTGTCATTATTTTTTTAAATCACTTGTATCAGTTGCTTCTACTGCCTAACTTATACTGTATGCTACCTATTATATGATAGAAAGATATCATATGTAATACGAAGGTGAATCTGGGTTGGGTTTTCATGGGACCTAGGTTGGGTGATGCCAAACACCCACTGGGTCGGGTGAAATTGCCATCCCTAGGTTAATGTTCTACTGTCTTAATGATCTTGTTTGGTGTTTCACTCATTAATTTTATTGCTATGTCATATGATCTCATGCCATTGATTCCACTCACTGTTGGTTTGCAGACCAATACAAGTGTTGCAAGTTCCCTTGGGACATACTTTTTATCCCAAATTTCTCTCATCTTTTTGGACATGCTTAATGTATACAGGTGTGCTTTTCACTGTTGTTCTCTAATGCTATTTTAGAAGCAGTTTTGAGCTTGTCAGAGATATCTTGCTGGCTCTTATTAGCTAATCCATGTCAATCTTGATATCAAATTTTATTGGCAGAATGTACAGTGAGCTTATATCAAGCAGTATTGCAGAAGGAGGGCCTTATGCATCTAAAACATCCTATGTGAAGCTTTTGCGGTGAGTCATCATTTGGATTTTGTTTCAGATGTGATGGAAAATTAAAATTCTCTGGTTTTTAATGTGCTTTTACTAAACAGATCTGTTAAGAGGGAGACACTTAAGCTCATTGAGACATTTTTGGACAAGGCCGAAGATCAGACACAAATTGGGAAGCAGTTTGTGCCCCCAATGATGGATCCTGTTCTTGGTGATTATGCTAGGAATTTGCCTGATGCTAGAGAATCAGAAGTTTTGTCACTTTTTGCTACAATTATAAACAAGTATGTTGCACTTGCTTAACATTCTTTGCTTTCGATTTGATGATTTGGTGAAAATCAGATCAGTAATTCTTGAAACTACTATTATTTAGTATTTAAATCTGCAATCTGCTCCATGGAGCATGATAGATTTTAGTCATCTTCAGGAGAATTTTCTTACTGCTTACTCTTGTGGATCTTGTTAACTTACATGGATGAGTTGAAAGATAGGTGGGGGATGGTCTAATTGATATCAACTTAAATAAATGTCAATCTCGATCTAGTTAGTAGCATCATCGGTGGCAGGTGAGTGTTAGATTCTCTAGTTGTGAAAATGTAAATGCATAATGCATTTAATATATCATTTACTAGACCAAATGGATTCAGTAGGAGTTGCCTTTGTTGCAGACCTACATCTGCATTATATGCTTTTAAGCATCACTGCTCACTAAGGCATTTAGTCTGGGATTGAGGCTTGGTTGTTGTGTATCGGTCTTTAGATCCTCAGAATCTCTGCTGTGCTTGCAGCCTGGAGGCAATTTAGACTACTGCAAAATGGTCTGTTCCTTATTACTGTGCTTTCTCTTGGATATCTGTTTCTGATGTTTTCCGTTTCTGGATAAAAGGTACAAAGCTGCAATGATAGAAGATGTACCTCGAATCTTTGAAGCTGTTTTCCAATGTACATTGGAGGTAAGTATGCAGGCTGTAAATCTTTGTACTTGTTTATGTGGCTTCTATATGTTGCTATTTTTTGTCAATGCATCACCTTTTGTATCGTCACATCTTGCAACAGCAATCGAGGACCGATTTTCTGGACTTTATCGTGATGTTTAAAAGGAAATTGTGAAATGGCTATAAATAATATAGTTGGTGGAACAATGAAACCAGTAGACTATTGGTTTTCCATGGAATGCGAAATTCCAAATGGAGTTTAGTTGTTGCTTTCCAGTAGTTGTTTAAAAGCATCCAACACTAATAGTTCCTTGTATAATATTGGCCAGTTAGTCCTCCAACTCTCTTTTATTTACAATTTGTTTATGCAGCACATTTAATTCATTAAGGTTGTATATATATACATTGGAAAGTCAGTAGAGCAACAGTAAAATGATCTTTGTTTCAGAGTTCAGACCCCGTCATTGTACAATCCACTGATAGACAGTTGCAAATATTCTGGCACGACGCTTGTGTTTTTTTTTTTTTTTTCCTGTTTTCTTTTTGGAGATTGATGTAGTTATGCCTAGGCAATGGTTATATCTAAGGAGGATGCCATGCTATCATCAAACACTGCTTATAGGAATGCTATCTTGTACACTTCAGCACCTATCTCCCTCTCCTGATAACTTGCTAGAATAGGTGCATTGGTTCATGTTGGTGTTATATATTGCATAGCATAGCATACATCATTGAAGTTATGTGTATAAGATCAAAGCTGAATTTTTTGTAATTGTGTATTAGAAGTTGTGCAGCTGAGATGAGTAGTTCTGTGCTGCAGATGATAACCAAAAATTTTGAAGATTATCCAGAACATCGCCTTAAGTTCTTTTCATTACTTCGTGCCATTGCTACACATTGTTTCCCTGCCTTGATTCGTTTGTCAACCGAGGTTGGTGTTTGAATTATTTTGTATCTTCTATTGATCCTATTGTGTTGCTCAGTTCTACTCATAATGATTTGTTAGATTGGCCTTGATATGTGATCTTAGAGCAGGAGAATTTTGAACTACATCAGCAAAGTGGAAAAAAATTAAAGGAATGGACTGCTAAGTTGGATTATATTAGTCAAGAAAAATAAGCTAAAGCTTGAGGGGCAACATTTTTACAATTTATGATAAATGCTATTCTCTCTCTCTTTTTTTTATTTTTTTTTTGGGGTGAGAAATTATCAATTATAAAGCTGCTTCCATTTGATTGAAATCTTTCGTTTCATGTTATTCAATACCAGCAACTGAAGTTAGTGATGGATTCAATCATTTGGGCATTCCGTCATACGGAGAGGAACATAGCTGAGACTGGTCTAAACCTATTGTTGGAGATGCTGAAGAACTTTCAGGTGCTTTTTCCCTTGCATTTTTTGTTTATATATATATCATGCTGTGTGGGATGCTTTATTTACTCTTCTGTGTAATTTGACAGGCTTCAGAGTTCTGTAATCAGTTCTATAGGTCATACTTTTTGACAATTGAGCAGGAAATATTTGCCGTCTTGACAGATACATTTCACAAACCTGGTTTTAAGTTGCATGTCTTGGTGCTGCAACACTTATTTTGCTTGGTATGTGCCTTGCACCTATCTTTTCCTAGTTTTTTAGGCACGACCAAATATGGTTAACGAATGCAACATTTCAGGTGGAGAGTGGTGCTTTGACAGAGCCTTTGTGGGATGCTGCAACAGTCCCTTATTCATACCCAAATAATGCAATGTTTGTTCGCGAGTACACCATTAAACTTCTAGGTACATCATTCCCAAACATGACTGCATCAGAGGTGAGATCATTTATTTATCTTATTTACTCTTACTTTATTATGGTCTTTGCTCCAATGCCATCCATTTGATATCACTAATATGAAGACACTTTCAGGTCACTCAATTTGTTAATGGGCTATTTGAATCGAGAAATGACCTGTCTGTATTTAAGAATCATATCCGAGACTTTCTTGTGCAATCGAAGGAATTTTCTGCTCAGGTAACTTTTTGAATTACCAACCACTTGCTTAAACTGTCCCATTTCTTCCTCATTCCCACAAATTAGTGGGATGGTATAAAAGATGTTAATGCTTGTGGACACAAGTGAAAAGTCACACTTGTCTTTTGTAGGCCTTCTGGGCGTCCACTATTATATGGTTTAGGAGTGGCAAAAGCTATTTGACCCAAAAAACACCTCAAGTTAAATGGGTTGTGTAAGGGTTATCCATCTGATCCATTTAAAGATGAAAAATGAAACTCTCTGCAGATGTTCATTTTAGTTACTGAGATTTTAGAACCTTTTTTTTAGTCCCCACCTATATTTTCTTACAAATTAATCCTCATTTTTTGAAGTTTTTAAGTCCCTCTTACTTTATAGTGATACAGTTTAGTCCTGAAATTATTATTATTATTAATATTAAATCCCTAGTTGAATAGTAAAATTGGTCAAACTTAGTTAATTGGGTATAAGTATCTATTTAAAATAATAATAATAATAAATGGGCAAAAACATTTACCCATACCCATCCATTTGTGGCCACTATGGGTGAAATAAGCAAGTGCAATCTGAATGCTTGGTTGTTTCTGCAGGATAATAAAGATCTCTATGCAGAAGAGGCTGCTGCTCAGAGGGAAAGAGAGCGACAAAGGATGCTTTCGATTCCAGGGCTTATTGCCCCTAATGAAATACAAGATGAGATGCTAGATTCATAGGAAGATTTTTGTGGCAAAAGCTAATTTAATATAACTCAGGGAGTTGCTATGGTGTGGGCATCTTGTTTTGTTAACCCGGCAGTGGATATGAACAGATCAGCATTTTTCCCTTGATTCCTTGTGTTGAACCAGGTAGATCGTAAGGGTGCCATGGAGTGTAGGTTTGGGTGCTGGCTATATTGCCCATATGTCTACGGGCTGTGCTGGGTGTAGAGTATTTAGGGGCTAATGTAGAAATATGTTTTTTGAGTCATTGTACGGTTTGTTGGATCTAGCATAAGACATTATTGATGATGATGAACGGACGGGATCAAACTGTTTAAATGACTCATTTTGCATTGTTGATTGATTCATAGTTGTGCAGGAATTGTTTCTCTTGGAATTGTGTTTTACAGTTTAGGGGTTTTGTTTTTCTTTTAGTTCACTACATCAAATATAATAAGATTGTGTTTTATTAATATATGGCTTCTTATTTACTACGTTGTCATTTGCAAATTCCATCTATTTTACCTCGTGATGTTGATGGATATTAGATCAGTAGAAATTGGGAAGGCTTTTAAAACTCAAATATGTTCTCAGTAAGTGAGGTAGTGAAAGGATACGTCTTTTCTTTGAAAATAGGCCAAACTCAAATTCAAAATTATTTCTCGGTTCTTGAGAGTATTATTGCAACGTAGAATTTAACGCTGGATCTGACAAAGCAACGGAATCATCGAAGGCACCATTTGTTCAAATGGCAGTAAGTGACCATATGGCTGAAGGCCTTAGCTAGTGCATAAGTTAAATGTGTTGGTGCGGTTGTGAAGGCACCAGAGCTAAAATGTGGTACAGAAGCCATTTTTTTTTTTTTTTTTTTTCAAGCCATGATATGTAATCATATGTTCTGAGAAAGTTTTTTTGAATCTAGACTTCATTTCTTCCGTTGTGCTTAAGGTTAGCTCTTCAAACTCACCAAATGAGTTGCATGAAGACTGCAGCAGCTAGCAGCCGCTCGGGGTATTCTCATTTTAAGTAGCAAGCATGTTTGAAAAGAATGATTCTAAGTTTCCTAAGAGCTCCTTCTCGCAAATCACGCACGCAATCGAATTTTGGACATTCCTGGAATTGAACTTAGTGGTTCACCTTCACACTCTACCATACTCGTATTTGCACAAGTAAATTGTTGAGTTCAGCCCAAGAAACTGAGATCTATATTAACCATCGTGTATTTTTTTTTTTTTTTTTTTTGGCACGTTCTTTATTTGCTTTTGCACTTTTTTCCTGCACATAAATATGTGTGTGTTCTTCTTGAGGATGAGCTAGGATTGTTTTCTACACTTTCTTTAATTGTTTTTTGTACTTGTACCACTACCTTAAGCCGTATAGTCTACGAAAATCCCAAGATCTTATTATTTCACCAGCTCAGATGGTTTGTGTGTAATCACAAAAGGAAAGACACATAGTTCACCCAAATGCCATGAACATCGTGGAGAGAAATTACTGAAGAGTTCAGAAAGGTATTCTCATATTTGTTTACCAGCGTTATAGAGTTACTTTTATAGAGTTACCTTAAGCCATGAACAATTGGGGGTTCACTATTTGGTTTTAATCGAATCCGATTCCCTTTTTTATGTTTTTTTTTTTTTTTTTTTTAAAAAAAAAACCGATTGGTGCAGTTTTATTAGCTAATGCGCCTTGAATTTGATTGATGGACCTTATGAGAATCCAATCTATGCGTTTCAGTTTCAGTCATCCTATTCATCTAAAAATGCACATTTTGAAATTCTCAAAAGACCAAACGTGCCCACTTTAAAAAGGCATATTTCGCTAAAAAACCCAAAAAAATTGAAATTCTGAAAAACAATTCTGTTAAAATCAAATGAATCGAAATCGAAATTTCAGTTTTTTAATTGAGAAACCGAATTAAATTTCAGTTCGGTTTCTATTTTTGTTTTTAAAAAATTAGTTAACTAAAAACTAAACTAAAATAATATGAAACTGAATTGAACCGAAAAACAAAATGAATACCCCTAACGTTTATTTTTTAAATTATCCCTACAAAAGAGTTTTAATTCTTCTTATATAAAAAGGTTTTGATAGCAAAAACTTTCTCCAAACTATTAGATCTTGACAATTTAAAGCCTGTACTAGCAATTTGAACTCCAAACTATCATTTTTTGAACAAATATGATCTTTCTTTCATTATCTCTAGTAGTTAAAATGTTGATTGTTAATTGAAATATGATTTAATAGCATAATTTTTTTCTTAAGTTATTAAGTTGTGGTAAAATAAGATTTATACTATTAATTTCAGTTATTTGAACTTCAAATTATTAATTTCTTAACACAATTTTATCCTTCTTCATTATTTCTAACAATCAAAGTACTCGAAATCAACACATAATTTCTAACAAATTTATTTATTTATTTATTTATTTTTTTTGACGACTCTCATAGTTTTGAAGCTCAACTCGAAATCAACACACCTAAAGAGTCATCTCGGGTTCCTTCTCTCCAAGCTCAAACCGACGACTCTCAAAGAAATCTCTCTCACCTTTTGCTCCTTACATCGAGTCCTCTTCTTGATCTGAGTAACTCTGTTTTAGATGAAGCCTTAATCAACTACACCAACCATCTATATAGAAGGCCGTAACTAAAGGGTTTTAGGGTGCTATTTGTTATCACCCAATTTTAATCTCAATTTTTTTTTTTAAACAGAACGAATAAATCATTGTATTTAAAAAAAATCCTAAGAAATTCAAAAAAATAGTATGATATATATATAATTTTTGAGCAATTTGATAATTTTTTCCAGTTTAATTACACTGATATTTTTTTTTTGAATTTAAAAAAAAAATAAAAAAGAGAGGAATATATATATATATAAGAGAAAAATAAGAGGAAAAAAATATAGTCAACACTCGACTACTAGAAATAATAGAAAGTGATAAAATTTATCTAAAAACTAATACTTTAGAGTCTAAATAACTCAAATTGATTGCATAAGTCTTATTTTGCCACAATTCCAATACTTTGGAGATAAACTTTGCTATTAATTATATTTTAATTAACGATAAAAATTATAATCTTTAGAGATAACAGAAAAATGATAATATTTATCCAAAAAATAATAATTTGGATTTCAAATAGTCTTAATTAATCGAATGGGATTTAACTTGTCATAACCCAATGTTTGAGAATAATTTTTGCCATTAAAACTATATAAAATCTTGAGCTTGCGCATCATAGCGGGGTCAATATGCCCAAATCCAACACACACACACATCCAATAGCTTTTATTTGTTGTAACCTTCAAATTCTACTACTAATTCGATTGATGAAGTTCTCTCTCACTCTCTTTTTGTACAATGTTGAGACAAAGAAATATGGATAAAGAAGAAAATAGGCTATAAAAGATCAATAATATTTTTTTCCTCATTTATGTTCACAAAGGCATGCCATGGCTAAGATTTTTTTTTTGTTAGAAGGATGGAGAAAAAGGAAGAATAAGAGAGATTGATATATTGGTAACAAATCGATTGGTTTTTGTGTAGAAAGAAAAGATATATGGATTTTTTATTTTATTATTATTATTATTTTTTTAGAATGTAAAGGTCGAAAATAAAGAAGAAAAATCATCCATTTTTTTTTTATCAATTATGTAACACAATTAGTTGTATTTAAAACATTAATATTGTTATTAATTGTTATTATTTTCTCTAACAATTAATAATAACACGTATGATAACAAATCACATTTTTGTCGGTACATTTAACATCACATAATTTGTCATAATTTTTTTAGGATCCTAATCAGACGTCCTAGTAAGATGTCAAAATGTCGACTCCAAAATCACTTCTTTATGTTGTGTTCTTTTTCAAGATTAGGCCCGATCAATGATCTATGAAAAAGTTGGCTGTATGTATTTATTGTGGTACTCCCCACCTAAATTCTTTATTGATGTACTTGTTAAAATACGCTTATATTCTTAAAATATAATTTAGAAAAAATAGCTCAGTTTGTCATTATTTAATTGGGTTAATGTCGAATATGTCTTTATAACTTAAAATAAGTCAATTGTGTTTTTGTATTTTAAATGAGTTTTCAATTTATTCTTCTTATGTCTTTTTTCAATAAAACCATCATAAAATATTATGTGATTTACATATGATTAATTTTATGTAAAAAATACTCCTAAAATGAGTGGGTGAAAAGTGTCGATTTTGTTATGTTAGGCCCAAGTTTTAATGATTAAAGGGGGTGTAAGGCTGTGGGTGGTTGGCAAATGAAAAATCACAACATGAAAACAGTAAAATGACAGAGAAATTTTCTGTCGCTAAATCATCATTTTTCATTGCTATTTACTTTTAGCGACATATTTGCAACAATAATTTTTAGTAACTAAAACTATCGTTATTATTTTTTTAGTAACAAAAATTGCTATCTCGTTGTTAATGTGAAGTATTTTCATCACTAAATTGAAATAAATAGTCGTCTTTTAGGTCTATAATCTGTCACAAAACCGTTGCTATTCTCATATTGTCGTTGCTAATTACACTCACTAAATTTCCTCACAAATCTAATACTATATCTGTTGCTATTTAGTAACTATGTATATGTGTCCGTCGCAAAGAGATTTAATTTTGATCTCTAATTCGATCGTTGATCCATCACTAAATGAATGAAACTTTTATTTATTTATTTATAAATTAATAACCGTTTAATATTAATGCTAATAGCAAACAATTAAAAATAATATCTTATTAAAACATGAAATATTATTTAATAAAATTAAAATAATATAAAATAAATTTAGGTATTTAAACCCCTACATTTTCAATTTATTTATTTATTTTTCGTCTTAATTTTTATAGATAGCATGATTATCTTATCAATTCATATTCCAATAATTATAATTATGTCATTAATATAAGATTTAGATGATTAATTGAATTAAAATAATTTAATTTGTGCTTAATTGGAAGGATTTAGTCCTTAATATAATTTGACAGTTTAAAAAGGTTTAAATTTAAATTCTTTACGATTTATGTGTTTAAAATTTAATTTTATTTGACTATAGTAATATTTTTAGAGTTCGTCTATATATATATATATATATTTCTTAAAATAACATGAGGTTAAATATAATGAATTGATATATAGTATTATTTTTATTTTCCGTATAAAAAGTCTAAAGAATTGTTGATCGATGATAAAGTTAACAATAGACAAACACTATTTTGCTTTTAATGGTGAGAAAATTAAAATAAGCCAATATGAATTAAAATTGCCAAGGACACTGTGAAAAGCAATTGACTATTTTAGTTATTTTAGTTTCTATGGAGTTGTGTTTATATGATTTATGATCTTTGCATGTTTAATTTTATTATATTTTGCACTTATATTTTATTTGTTCAGTCTAGTTTAATCTAAATGGATTATATTCAAGACCTAAAACCAATTTTATTTCAATAATAGCTCTTTTATTATTATCATATTTTATTTTATTTTTATTCTCATTTTTGTTTATTATTTTTATAGCTACTAATTTTTTCTTCTTACAAATTTGTTCTTGAAATTGATTTTACTATTTAAAAAATGACATGACAATTGGATATTGACTCGAGCTTGTGTTTATTTTGCTTGTGCTTGGATTTGAATTGTTTAATTTACAATAAGCTTTAAATCTTGACCTTTATCTTCTTATATGGGCTCTAACAACCTAGTAATAACTTAGCAATGGACTTTAAATCTTGGCTTTTATCCTCCTATATGGGCTCCAATGACTCAGTAACAACTTAAGTAAGAGACGTTTTATTTCTATTTTCAAATTGTCTCACTTAAAATTAGTTTGAAAGCCCAATAACCAATTCGTAAATTAAGATAAAAAAAAAAAAAGAGAACATTTAAATGAACTTTACATGAATAAATTTTCATAGGTTAGAATTGATCGATAACGTCATTACGAGAACACACTAGAGCAACCGTAATATTCTCTAATTATGTAATCAACTCCTTTAGCCAGCACTCTTAGGATTGGTTTATTAAGTTTTTCTTAATTTTCACCTTAAAGAAAACTGAATGGCGACTCTACTTATAGAACATATTATTTCTACAATCACCGAGAAGTCACCGTGTAACAGTGCACATTAACTTGAAAAAAAAAAAATGAAAAAAGAGTAAGAAAGAAGAAAACAAATTCTTCAATCAATCATTCATGCCTTTATTTTATGCGCCCATGATCTACATTGCACTAAATCCACACACACCAATTTGAGAGCAAACATATTTTCCAAAAAAAACAAATACAGAACTTATGCGCGCTTAACTTTTACTCCATGAACAATGGTACCTTGACACTTAACAGTAACATTTGCAAGGCTTACAAAAGTGACCACAATCCTACATGCCCGAAAATCATGACAGCAAAGAAACTTTTCCTACAAATGAAGATAGGGCAAGCTTTTTAATGGTTTTTTTGAAAGCAAAGAATCAGAATAATTGGCCACCACATCAAGCAATAATTATCCGACAGAAATTTCAAACAATCATATGATTATGGAGGAAATATTGAGATATTTTTTCATTCTTCAGAATTCAAATTTCATTAACTCTAAAAAGACACTTATCATCTGGAACCATAATAAATAGATTAAGCTACCATGTCTTGGTTAAATGTTAAAGAGAGCCATCAATTAGCTAATTTGCATCAAATGTATTGCAAGAAAGATAATCCATGCAATCAATATATATATATGTCCATATGGGAACACATCTGCATTCATCCATATGACATCTCATATTGCATTAGAATCCATGTGCTCCTTCTATGACCTCTAGATTGAGTAGAAATACTATAAGATCTATAAAATTTACAAACTGATGGTGATGCTGTAAAAGGCTTGAAGTGGTTTATATCAGGAAGTTATGATATCTACTATAACTCATAGACTGAGAAACTTACCAAGCATACACTAAGCACATGGGCAAAGTCTCCTGGTATGCCAATGTGAGCCATCACAGGAAAGCAATGATTGTGTTCGAGTATACAAGCATGCTCCTGGATTCTGAAAAAACACAGGAAAAATATAATTGATACTTTGTATTCAAGGAATCAATTCATCTTTAGAATCCTGAGAGAAAGTATTCAAGGAATCAATTCATCTTTAGAATCTTGAGTTCTCATTTTGACAATATTAATTCTTCTTTAGCACATGGTTCAAAACACAATCTTCTCTAATGTTCCATGCAATTGATCTAAGATCTTTCCAACCTGGCAGTTCTAAAACAATTAGTAAATTACCAATTGGTTAGAGATTTATGCAATAGTTTTTGAAGTAGACTGCTCAAAAGGTACTGCAAGTTTTCCCTCATTGCAAAATAAAATATGTTCATATACTCCCAGCAGTTGCTATAACTTTGTTAACAAGGGGAAATATACCAAGTGTCTTGGAGCATCTTCAACAACTTCAGCAGGTTGATCTGTTCCAATGCTTGCTAAACAGGCTCCTCTACAACTCATATATTTCTGCATACTGTTCACAAAGAAAGATTCCAAAAGATATCTTATTAAAAAACATAAAGCAAAATGAGACTTTCATCACATTGCAGTCCAAATTGTGTTCTCTGCCAGCGCAAATAATATCTTCTCCCTCAGGGAAAGATGAAAACAGTGCATCGTTCTTACGTGTCCATAGCACTGATGGAAAAAATGAGAAACTCACTATTCACTGTCAAGTAATTAGAAAAGAAAAATTGAGATGAAGCAAATAGTTAAAACCTTTAGCGAAAAGGAGTTCTTCAATGTCTCAACTTTTACCAAATTCACAATCAAGTGTTACGGCTTTAATTTTTAACAATTAAGGTTATCAACATTTTAAAAGCACATAATTGAGTGCAAAATTGGAAGTTTGTGAAGTTAAGGCTGATGTGTCCGTTAAGTGGTTACATGGATTTATGCTAGATCAAATACAACCAAGGGCCCATATGTAATTTTCCACCTTTTCAAAATGATCTTTTACATAATAAAGATACAAATTAAATTAAATTCAAAAGGAATAAAAAATAAATAAAAAAGGACACTACTCTCTCCCCCTTTCTCTTGCAACAACCAACTCCCACCTTGATGAGAATAAAGAAAGTCAAGGCTGTGTTGATGTAATTAGAATAAATTATGGATTTGCTTTAATATATAGATTTGCCTTGTTTAGGCATGTTTATTTTAGGGATTGAGGCATAATTTAGGCTGCCAGGGTTTTGGTTTGTTTTCAGCCTATAAAGAGGCTTTGATATGTATGAACTTGGGGAGCTTTTTGATTTCAATAAACGTGAGATATTTTTCACCTTGGTCTCTCTTAAGAACTGACAAAACTTATCAAATTTTAATTGATGAAACACGTGGCGTTCAAAGGCTTATCACTCCTTTCTTACTTGCTGAGTGTGGCTCCTATTCCTTCTTTAAGCCTATGGTTCAAGTCTTATTAGACTTAGGGTCGGGATTCTTAATAATCTACAATCTGATCTTAGCTTTCTTGAGAAAGATTCATCTCATTCGTGGGCTCCTAAACACTTGATTCACGGGGATCATATCAGTTGGTATCAAAACAAGGTTCTAAAATCAAGTTTTATCTATCCTTCTTTTTTTTTTTTCCATATAGATTTTGTTCATCTTTGTGTGTCTATTTGTGTATGTTGTTTTATTGATCTGGTTTGTTTTCTTGGTTGTTTCAAAAAACAAAAAAAAGTGAATTAGCTTAGCAATTAGCTGAATTGCGTTTACATTCAACAACAAATCAGCTTGTGTTCTTTGGTGCACTAAAAACACGCAAGTTGATTCCTTTGATAATTCTGCTTAATTATTCAAGTTGTCAATTCAATTTGTTTCGCGTCAAATCTATCCAAAATAGAGTCAAATTGATTAGTTAATTGTGATATTTGGATCAGTCTTTGCCACATTTTTATCTTTTGATCTTGTTGAGTTTGTTTAGTTCAAGAAAGAACTAAGGGCGAAAATTTGAGTGGTAAATGGAAAGAGTGTGAGCTCAATTTTGGTAAAAGCCATAAAGAGAGTAAACACGAGGGTTGAGTGATATTAAATTGAGTGAAACACGTGAGGGGAATGTCTTGTAAGGTTCTCCAACCAATTTTTGTAGACTTAGCAACAAAAACAAAATGACTTCCAAACACAAAGGTGTAGCAAAGAAGGAGCATGTTGACGTGTTGTTCATGCTAAAAGCTATGCAACAACAATTTCAACATATGAACACCTGATTTGATGATATGATGGATCGGGTGGAGAGACAAGATGCCACCCTTGCTGAGTTGCAAAGGGAACAAGGAGGCCGTAAGGTTCCCAATGCAAGAAGGCAGGAGAGACAAGACCATCAGTATGATGATGAGCAGGATGATGGTGACTTTGATGATCATGGATCCATGGTCAATATGGTAATAACCAAGGTGGTAGGAGAGATTTTCGGAGGAGAAATCAGTGTAACAGAGACTTAAGCAACATCAAAATGAACATTCCTCCATTACAAGGGAAGAATGACCCAGAAGCATATTTGGAGTGGGAGAAGATAGTGGAGCTGTTATTTGACTGCCATCGTTACTCTGAGGAGAAAAAGATAAAACTTGCTGCTATTGAGTTTACTGATCATGCCGTTATTTGGTGGGATCAGTTTGTTTTAACTAGGAGAAGAAATCAGGCGAGGCCTATTGAAACTTTGGAGGAGATGACGGCTGGCATGACAAGGAAGTTTGTCCCTAGTCATTATTGTAGGGAACCACATCAAAAATTACAGAGGCTTACCCAAGGTACCAAATCTATGGAAGAGTACCACAAGGAGATAGAGGTCGCTATTATTCGGGCAAATGTGGAGGATAGAGAGACCATAATGGCTTGGTTTCTGCAAGGCCTTGATTATGATATTGCCAAAGTAGTGGAGTTGCAACATTATGTGGAGATGGATGACATGGTGCACATGGCCATAAAGGTGGAGAAGCAACTCAAGAGGAAGAGTTCTATTTGATTTGGGCAGATTCGAATTCCAACACTTGGAAATCGAGTTGGAAAAAAAAGGAGGCCAAGGGTGATTACAAGCCCAAGGCTGAGGCATTCAAATTCAATCTTAATTTAAGAGAATCAGTGCTTGAAGAGAACTTGGAGAGTATTAAACGAGAAGAGTCTCTGCTCCTTGAAGGAGATGCAAAACACCAAGAAGAGCCAAAAGAGAACAAGTTTGATAATCTTGTAGATATGCAAGAGGAAGACAACGAGAAGATTGTGGATGTTCAAGAGAATATACCATTTATTGAATTTGTCCTTCTAGAGGAGTTCAATGACAACAAAATCAATCCTGAATTTTTCTGACCATTATTTGTTTGTATTTTGCAAATTGGGTATGTGCAGATGTTTTTGATACATTGTTATTATAAGACTCGAGGACAAGTGTTCTCCAACTGAGGGAGCATGATGAACATCAAGATGAAGATTCGAGGACGAATCTTTTTTAGGAAAGTGGGAATGATGAGAATAAAGAAAGTCAAAGCTTTATTGATGTAATTAGTATAAATTATGTATTTGCTTTAATATATGGATTTGCCTTGTTTAGGCATGTTTTTCATATTGGCAGCTAGGAATAATTTATTCTCCAATATCTTAGGAGATATCAATATTTAGGAGATTCCTACATTTTAGGGATTAAGGCATAATTTAGGCTGCTAGGGTTTTGTTTTGTTTTCATCATATAAGGAGGATTTGATATGTATGCATTTGAGGAGTTTTTTTATTTCAACAAAAGTGAGGTATTTTTCACCTTGGTTCTCTCAAGAATTTACAGAACCTATCAAGTTTTAATTGATAAAACTTGTGGCATTCAAAGGCTTATCACTCCTTTCTTACTTGTCTGAGTGTGGCACATATTCCTTCTTTAAGCCTACAGTTCAGGTCTTATTTAGACTTAGGGTCGGGGTTCTTAACAATCTACAATCTGATCTTAGCTTTCTTGGGAAAGATTCATCTTGTTCGTGGGTTCCTAAGCACTTGATTTACAGGGTTTACATCATCCAAATAAAACCACTACTAACACAAACTCTGCCCCACAAACACTTGAAAAAAAAAAAACCCACACTCAATCTCTTTTTACCAAACAAAAGAAGTCCAAACTCGCTACCACCACCAACTCCTCCACCACCACTTCCATTTCATGTTCATCACTGAGCCACAACACCAGCAGCTCTTGACCATAGCCAAAACTTTTAGTTCTGGTGGGGTAATTATTGTTATAGAGGGTGGTTCTTATTTTTCTTGTCTTTGTTTTTTCTTTATAACATGTCTTTTGTTTTTAACTAGAAAACTATTGTATTTAATGATGTATGCCACGTCGGCTCTAACTAATAAGTGATGTGTACTTGACATATCACAAGTTTTAATAGACATATAGGATTGGGATTAACAGACATCCATTTTTGCATCAAAGGAACACGGAATATACATTAGTAGTAGGAACAAAGCAAAAAAATTCAAATTTTCCTTTGTCCAAAAGAGAGAATTTGAAGAAGGGTGTTTGCAAAATTGGTTATGGAAGCATTTCCTTTGGATAAAAAGAAAGACTGAATTCACTAAATGTCAATGATTAATTCCAATGGTTTCATTTACATATTTAAGCCTAACCCCAAGCTGGAGTACCTTATGTAATTCAACATTGTAAACAATATCACCAAAGATATTTTTCTTTTTAGGAGAATACTTTTCAGATATTCTAATACAATATCAGAACAAAACTTTAAACAGAAATATTTAAACAGAATGTTACTTACATGTCACATTGATTAAGCACCAGGAGCTTATTTAAGACGCATAACTGTCCCTTTGACTTGCAAACTGAATCACAGGACTCACCTTGCCTATCAACCAGTGATGATAAATTTGAAAGGAATAAGCTCTGGTAGGGGAGCTCAATTTAGTAAAATCAAGAAACAGACACAATCACCATGTTAACTCACTTTCCAATTACTACATTAATTCCACCTAGCCTTGCTTCTAGTTGAGTATAATTGGCCCCTGTCACGATAAAAATTCAGGACAGAAAAAACTCAAATTTTTTTGTAGCCAAACAATTTGCCCAGGTGAAACAAAAAGCAGTTGGTAGAATGCAGAAGAGGATTAATGTGAAAAACAATTTAGGCAGCAATTCCAAGATGCAAATTAAAGAATAGTATGATTCATTATTAAATCACAAATATGTTATTTCAAATATGGGAATGCCCTCAGTAATTTCTCTTAGTGGACATGTAAAGTATGGAAATGGAAATTGCAACTTGATTCTTTGAGAATGAGCGTAGCATCTGCATATTTCATTACTCCAAGTCACTAAAAATCAAAGCTTTAAAAACAAAACTAACTGAGGTTAAAGAGAATAAAGATGACTTGCTAACAGGGTCCAAGTCCCCAAAATAACGAGAACAGCAATAAAGGTTACAACATGCAGAATCATAAAAAATACTCTGCTCAACAGAACTCACATTCATAAACTCAAGAATTCATGTTAGAGTGACATAAGTTCAAATCTGACAAACAAGGAAAAGGGCAAGAGTGCAACCGAAAATTTTGTAACTGAACTAGCTTTGACAAGATAAAAACATTACTTACCAGAAGAATTAGATGGCAGAGAAAAGCAATGATGGAAATCACTAAGATAAGCATTTTCATGAACCTGCAACGGTCAAACCAATTTCAGGTGCAGTATACGACGAACAAACTGGTATGATTAATTTCTGCCTCTCCATCAGCATTTAATAAGGTGAAAAGAAATGGAGGCTGTGTGGGTATCAGGAGTTTGAAATTGGTTAGACACATTCAGCTCAACAATTATTGCATTACTCATTTTCATCATTGTTCAGTTCTCTAAGGACAATCATTAACGCACCAACCCACACCTCCCCAACCCTTACCCCCCCCCCCCCACAAAGCAAAACAACTACATGTAAATAAAACTCGCAAAAATCGACTACATCAAAAGACTACTTACCACGCTTTCTGAATTATGACGGCACCTCCCAGCACAAAAATCAAAAACGCTTGTATAAGTCACTGCTAAAAGGAAATGTGAGCACCAGCTATTGTCAAATGATAGACACATATAATTGGAACCCGCTATGCCAGGGCAGGTCCCTTTCATGGATAATGTAAGGATATTTCATAAGGAATAATCAGTTTCTCTTATTACATAAACCTTAAAAAAAAATAGGGACAGAAACGGGATTGGTTCAGAGGTCTTTCTAAATGTCGAGTGCTATGTCAACTGAATACAATCATCCAATTCTAGTTAAAATTTGAATTGAATTTAAAAGTTGATTGTATGAGATGAATGAATAATTGGAAGCTAAAAGTATAGGCGGGCTAGAAACCAGAATGGCCAGAAAGAAAAGTTTACCTGCAGTTGATGGCTTGGCTATCTTGACCTTGAGAACTTGTGCCTCTTGTGTCTGCAGAATAACAAACAGATTACGAGACCATAAGATAAAAGCAACCAAACCCCTTACCCACCAACTTGAATAAATAAGCATTGAAGGAAAAATACCCGTGAAGGATGTAGGCAGCATGAAACACAAAATTCATATGAGTTACAACACTGTGAAACAAGGTTGCATCCCCTGCAATAATAAGTTTTTTTATTTTTTTTAACATTTTGCATTTTTTTATTTTTTTTCTGATTGCCATCAAAACAATCAAGAATTTATAAAAAAAAACAAAAAACAAAAAAACAAAAAAAAACTCACTGACAAGAGAATTTCAATCCATTTTCAGGGCAGCAACGAGATTGTAAACCCACTGATAGAGCATCACATACATACCCTAAAAAAAAGTTATTATTAACAAGCTTAAGCGAAGAATCAAAGAACGGAAAAATGGATGAGCCACAGACAGACAGACAGACAGACCATTATCATCAGAGCGTAGATATCTTCCTTGAATTGTATTCCTACAGATTCTGATTTGTTGAAACCCAATATCCTTCCTATATCATCAAAGCACAACCAAAAAAAAACCATGATTGTCGTTACTATTAGTTAGGTCTACACTTTTCCGTCATCTGAGAAATTACCCTACCTGATTGCTGAAATTATAGACGAGAATTGAAGAAAGATGAGTAGTTGTAAAGATGATAAATTTAAAAGATGAGATTTGGTCATTCTTCTTGAATTAATTTTTCCAAATTAGGTCTGCAGCGGCGGGTTGGGATTTGGTAAGAGGAATGGAATGGGCATAGGAACATGCGGTGAGGTGCCAGATCGGCTACTGCTCCCAGTCCCAGATTGATGCCATCTATTTCACCAGTTCACTCAACATTTGATTATTATAATTATTATTAAGGAAAATTTGAAAGCGGCCCAATTGTATCAACTTATAAACCACAAATCCCACTCACTTTTTGGAGGTTTAATTACGCTAAATGTCCCTGTTCTATAAATTTTTGACAATAACATCCTCATGGTTTTAATTT